TATTAGTAAAATTGAAAACTTTTATATAAAGAGAAAAATACGCATTTTACTATGTTTAATTAGTAAATTTTGACGTCATTGCATTATTTCTGATTGTCACTGTATATTATAATTTTGTTCAATAATATTTATATTAATTTAATTTTAAAATTTGTAAATATCACTTTCTTTTTGATCAATAATTAAAATAATTATCAATAAATTCTATTTTTGCATACTTTAACTTTTATTTTCACTTTTATTTTCACTCTCAATTTTTTTTGCATTTTTATCTCAAATTAATCTGTTTGCTATTGATAGATCTTATATTTAATTTTATCTCTAACAAGAATATTTTTAATTCAAATTTTATTATATTTATCCAATTATATATATTTTTATTACTATTTTTATTTCTATTTTTAATATTGTTTTTCTTATAATTTATCTTATGTTATTTAATTTTTGTATAAATTTTCATTTATTTTTAATTTTTATTCTTCTTTATTATTATTTAGTATTATTGTAAATAGTTGTATAATTTAGAATAATTATTAATTATGTAAATTGCAGAAACTGTTGAAAATATATAAAAGAAGAGTTTTTCATTACTAAAAACTCTCTTGCTCTAATCTAATAAAAATAACAAAGTTCTTACTTGTAATATTATACTTGTGAATACACTATTATTTTTTGTGTTCATCTTCAAATCCTGACTACAAGTAGTGAATGTTCCTTCACTTTAAATAAGTTATTGACTTTAGTATTTTTGTTTATTTTTGTTTTATAATTTTTAGGCCATGTCAACAAGTCCTATTTATTTTAATTTTATATTGACAGTCTCAATAAGTCTGATTATTATTTTATTTTATTAGACAGTTTTGATAAGTCCTGTTATTTTCTTTAATAGTTATTCTATCTTTATTTTAGTTGTCTTTATTTTATCTTTGATATTAAGTTAGTCTGCATACAAGCTACCACATTACGTAGACCTTTAGAACCTTTAGTGAACCCCATTAATCGTAAATCATTCAGTCTCTGTTCTCTTACTGTTATGTTACTTTGTTAATTCATTAATTCTAATAATTCTTGAATTGACGAGAACAATAATCATAGTACGAAAAAGAAATCTTATGGTATGTAGTGCTAAAATAATGTGCATTGCAGAACTCGATGATTCAATGGAATGACCGTAAGTCATTCTTATAAGAATCTTACACATAATGTTGGAGTGCGTATGTTCAGATAACAATAAAAAAACGTAAATTTTGCTAAAAAAAAAGTGTTGCGATTTTTAGATATAGAGGTTTAGTTACACTAATTTTCTTTAACATTTAGTAACCAATCAATTTTTACACATGCATAAAGATATTAACGGTATCATTCTGAAAGCACATTAACTTAATCAACAAACAATTAGATCTGACTTCAAAGTTTTGAGAAGGCAATAAATTTCTAATCTAATATTTACAGTTAATTATTATATAATAAGGAATGACGATAATTCTTATCGTTTTATTATTTTATCGTTATATGCGTAAACACAACGAAAAGAGAACCGTTTTGGTTGTTGCTCTACGGGAAAAGTGCATCCAGAATTTTACATGATTTATACAGGATATTACGTTACGCATACAGTATTTTACAGAATCATACGGAACGATTATCAATGCATCAGGAATGCATGTTAGGGACACATAAGGAACGCAAGGATTTCCATTTGGTATCTGCTTGGAACGTGTCAGAAATTATGGTTTGCATACGTAATGAACAGACTATATACGGAAAATCATGATGTATGTCAGGG